AATTTTTATTTTTTAATATTATTTATAAATGATAAATTTAAATTTTGATTAAAAATTTTTAAAAATAAAATAAATAAATAAAAATAAATAAATAAATTTATAAAAAGTAAAAATTTAAAATTTCAATAAACTTTACCAAATATGTCAGAAATTAGGAAGAGAAATCACACGAAGAGGAAAAGGGAATCAAGGCAGAGAAAAATCTCGGAACAAAGAAATGCAAAACTAGTGACGCAAAAAAAAGTCGACGAACTTAAAAGAGGTTGTGGCTTAATTAAATTATTAATTCATAAGTTGAGTTTATTAATAAGAATGGAAATATGCAATTATTTTTAATGATAAATTAAATTGTTATTAACAGGTTAAACTTGTTGCGAAAACCCAGTCGATCTTTTTTCTTCATTTTTTATTAAATTGTTATTAATTATTTTTAATAATAAAATTAAATATTATTAATAAAATAATGAATGATTATAATTACAAAATATGATTATGACAATTAATTTATTTGTTAAAGTCATTAATATTATAATCAATTTTATTAATATTTATAATTTTTTGAAATAGATAATTATATACTTGGTAAAATTAGATTTAATTCGAAAATTCGACTCAATTCATCCGTTATGGGTCAAGTGATGAGTTTTATGTGTTAATTTAAAATCTAAAATAATCCAAACTAAAATTATTTGAATCCAAATAGGTTGGGTCACGAGTAGGTTAGGTTATTCGAAATGACTCGAATTATTATTTATTTATTTATTTATTAAATTATTTAAAAATTAATTTTTAATTTTTAATTTTTTAATTTTAAAAATAAAAATAAATTAAATACTCAAATCTTAATCTCTTGTTAGTTTCGCTTTCTCTCAACTTTTTCTGTTCTCCACTCTTACTCTCCCATTTTTCATCTCAAACTCTTTAATTTTTCTCTTTGGTGACACTTATATTAAAAATTAAATTAGGTGACACATAATAAATTGTATTATATGGAAGTGTCAAAATAATCTTTTTTTTTTATAAAAAAAACAAGAATACTTATTAAAAATAAAAAATTAGTGGTTGAAATACTCTCATAACCGTTAAAAGTCTAATAACAAGAACATCAAGATTTGTTTTTAATTGGTAATTTGTTCTAAATTATTAATTTGTTATTAATTAATAATTTATTTCTAATTAATAAAAATCAATTCCAATTAATTTTTTCTTATATTTGTTTAGACATATTTTAAATTTACCTTT